GCATGGCACCGATTCATCTGTCTATCAGCTGGTCCATCTTACCCTCACTTGTAAACAAGACCTCAAGATACTTAAACTCCTTCACCTGGGGCAGCTGTTCAATACAAACCTGAAGGCGGCAATCTATCATTTTCTTGCAGAGTACCATGGCCTCAGAATTAAAGGCACTGACTCTCATTCCAGCCGCTTCACTCTTGGCTGCAAACCATCCCAGTGTGCATTGGAGGCAGAGCTTGGTCAATGACCATTGACCTCTCCTGTATCCTTGTCTGAGTAAAGAGCTGGTCAGCTGTTACATCCCTTAGTATTCCCTAAATGTTTGAAGATCCTTTGGAATAGCTGCTAAACAAATTAGTTGATGGCTTTTTTTATTATTGTTTGGCTTTATTATGTATGACTTTTGATTCCGCACCCAAAAACATTTCAGATATTTGTGTTAAAATTAACTTGTTAAAACCTGTTAAAAACCAGTGTTTCTTCACCCCAATGCACATGTTGCAGAGCAGGGTATAGGAGCTGCCATGCTCTGCAATTATGCTCGTGGGTGAAGTGTGATCATATTTAATGGACATGATGGGGAGAACTGTAAAAAATAACACCCAGGTTATCAGAAAAAAAGGTTCTCCTAAATCTGATTCTACTCTTCATGTATCATATTCCATCATAACTACGAGCCCATCTATCTAAATTGCTCTGGTATGTGGTGCCTGAATACTTTGGCCCTGACAATTCACTGCAGACATCAAGCACTGCACAAGAGGATTCCTTCAGGCGAGTTGGAGCACGAGCATGCAGACACAGACACAGACACACACACAGACACCACATACACATACACACACACACACACACACACACACACACACACACACACACACACACACACACACACAGACACACACACACAGAGTTGTAGTCGCACTCACACATGTATATAGACACAGATGCACCGTCTGGAACTATCGAGCATATCACAGGAAACAGGGCAATTAAGCAGCCACAGAGAGAGAGAGAGAGAGAGAGAGAGAGAGAGAGAGAGAGAGAGAGGAGCCAAACCCATGTGACTAAATTCCCACAGCCACCACAAAACACACACACACACACACACACACACACACTCCTGTTGGGTCGGGGGGCTCTCATTAGCCCTGTGGCTCTGAACCAGGGAGGATTAATGCCACAGTGGCTTTTCATGATATGAACAGAGGGTGGTGTCTGTGTGTGTGTGTGTGTGTGCGTGTGTGTCTGTGTCTGTGTGTGTGTGTGTGTGTCCTTCAGTTCGGGTTTAGTGAGTAAGCTACTTTGAGTGTCTGGTTGTTACACTGAATGAGGTTGAACTAAAGTAATGTGTCAATAAAGACAAATACACTGCAACTTTGTTCAGCATGTTACCAGAAAAAAAGGAATTATTGACTTCCGGACATTAAGAACTAATTATTATTGGAACGAAATCATCTGACTGGGTGTTTCTTAAGGTGAGGAATGTTGACTGTCTTTCAGAGAAATCAGTTCTTACTACCTGTGAAAATACAATAAAAGCAGTAATCTCCTAACTCAGTCCAAAGAGACAAAAGTTCATCCTCTGGGGAATATGAGTGTGCACACAAAATCTACATCCAGTCCGCAGCATTTTCTTCCTTCAAACTACAAGAAAAAATGAAAAGTATAAAAACATGAGGGGAAATAAACCTCCTGAAAGAGCAGATACATAAAGAGAGGATGATGACACCGCTGTTCACATGACATCAAGTCAGAAGAACTCATGTTTATAAGTTATGAAATGATTCTCAAAATGAAAACAAGATTTTAATTAAGCTTTTGGAAATTAAGAAAACTCCAGCAATTATTTACATTAAATCAATAAAAGGTGAAAAGATTAGTTCTCATCACTAAATTCCTATATGATATAGATTGTCAGTGATGAACTGGGTCAGCCTGTACAATGTCCAAGTGCTCATGAATCTGTAATGTGTCATAATGTAGTGCAGCAATGGCCCTGAATAACGAGTGAGGACTGATTTAATCACATCTATTCGAGACCTTCACCAGCCACGGCCAGTGGTGCATTTATGTGCTCCTCAGATGTTTGTTCTTCTGACTTCGGTATGTTTATGAGCTTTAAGTTGTAATGTGGGAACAACATGGATGTTTCAAAAAAGATGTGCTGTTAAATTTTATTGCTCAGTGCTGAAACAACATGTTGATAACAAAGAGCAAATGAAATGCATCTGGTGAGCCACTGAATATGATCATCTTTAATTTTTCAGATTGGTCCAATACAACATGAATGCAGCAAAAGGCTGCAGAGGTAAATCACACCGGTGCCACCACGGTGCGTAATGTGCAGCACGTCAAGTGCCACCCCTGGCACACACTAGACATGTTGCACTGCAGCTTGTCAACAAACAACCATGCAAAGTTATTGCTACTTTTACTGAAAGATCTGTTCTTCCTCCACCTCTGCATTAGCTTAAAATCATGTGTGGACAGCCCCTAACTAAACTTGATTTCTCACCTGACGAGCCCATCTCCAGAGCTATGACTCACCAGGCAATATCTTTTTGGACATTGTCTTTTTAATGATAGGACTGTACGTTGCTGAGCTCGAGATATTTATCAACCTCAACGAGTTTCTCTCCTCAGCCATTCTTTGTCATATACAAGACAGTAACAGCTACAGTGTTATCTTTACGCATCAGGGGTGAGGAGAGGAGTCAAGCTGCCATAGGAGCAGAGAAAAGAGCTGCAGCGGGAGCCCGTATGTACAAGCAGAAGAGTGAGTGGGGGAAAAAATACATTTAATTCCCGGGACGGAGAGGCCAGAAATAGGACAGTGGTGTAAAGTGCCTTGGGGCAGCATGTCCAGTAGCGCCAACGCACGTCTAGCCGCCGTGGATGTGGGGTTTTACATTGAAAGTAATAAGATCATATTTTCTGATGTGCAGCATTCGCTGTCGGTGTGTTTTGGCCTTTACTGGGACGTCTGCTACCTTGCCCTTCAAAAAGCGCCAGTGACATTTCTGTAACATTGAGAGACTGACATCATATTTTACAAACAGCATTAAAACTCAAAAGGTTTGATACATTTATATGTTTGAACTGAAAGGAACGGATTCTGAAAAGAATTGGTCTGCCCATCACTAATGTTTTACAGTGTGGAGCATCCTTCTTTTTCTTCTTCTTCTTCTTCTACTTCTTCTAATGAGGATCCGGAAGGCTGTACACTAATAAAGTGTAATGCTAACCTCCACAGCAAGAGTTTACTCTTTACCTTATATTTTCAAATAAAGCCCAGAAGCATGGAGAAATTTCAGGACTACTCTATCAATCAGTAGACACAGAAACAGATTTGCAGGAGAAAGCTGGTAAACCCAGACCTGACAGGTTCCTTAACAACTGTTGCCTTTCATTTCTGTATTTGTTACAAGAGAGCACATCTTGCTGGACTGTTTCCAATTCTCCACACTGACACAAACCGTCTGGATGCTTGGCTATGGCTTTTAAATAACTGGCTAAACCACAATGCCCCAGTCTCAGCCTTGTTTAAACAACATCGTCCCTTCTTCCAGATTTAATCATCCTCTTACAGAGGGCTGCAGAGAGAAGTAACATATGCCCCTTCACATTTCTTTCCACTCTTTTTGCCACTGAGCTCTTGTTTTTCTTTGGCAAATGCTAAATCATTCACACTTTCCCACCTGAACATTCAAATCAATAGTTTCTCTTAAAATAGCTTCCTTAGCCACTCATAAATATAGACAGAGCAGGCAGTGCGACTGCTCTGGGGCCCCTGGGGTTGAGGAGCCCGTATAGAGTGGGCCCTATAAGTGATTCAGATTGCCACCTTGGAAATATATGTGTTCAAAGATAAATGATAAAACAAACAAAATAAAAGCCATTTGCTTTATGCATTTCCTTAAAAAAGGCACACCCACGGTTTTGTTTTATTTTTCATTTTTAAATAGTAGCTATCTAAAACAAAATTAAATACTTTTCTATATGAGCTATAAAATCTATAAATATACTCTAAAAACAATTTAATCAAATAATTAATGTCCTACTTTCATTGATATTTTTGTCAGATATGCAGTGATGCTTGCTGGGTAATATGTGTGTTGATGTTGTTGACAGTACATGCATGATAGTGTGCAATAGGGCCGTCATAATAATGGGCACTAGGGCCCGTCCTCATTTCTTTATTCCACTGCTTGGCAGCTCAATCCTTAACAAACTGCACAAGACCTCAAGGAGCAGATCAGGGCAGGCCCTTGACGTCTAACCTCTCAAAGCTAACAAATCAGCAGCAGAATTGTAACAAATGACACTGTTAGGGGGTTTGACTTCCTCTATCCACGACAAAGCTCATACGATTGCTTGATCTGAACATTATCTACATACATCCCAAAACCACTTTTCCCAGAGCTTGGGTCCTTTGACCATTGATGTAAGGTAGTTACAATGGGCCCTAGTGCATGCTATCATGCACATATGGTTTTGTCACATGACTCATCACTCATAAGGGCACATTCCCAACACATTGTTGAGGGGCCTACTCTCTCTGTTGGCCCTCAACCTCATGGGCCCCAATGCAACAGCACTACCTGCAATGTCTACATTTACGCCCCTGCCTGAGACCAATGTGGAGCATCCTAAGTGAAAATGGTTGGTCACTGTGTCGGTAGGCAAGGGGCTAGACTGGCTTTTTCTGTGAGCCTGCTGGGTAAGACTCTGAACTGACAGACACTTCTCAGTCCTTCTGACGCCTTTGACTAGAGGGGAGTCAGCCGGGGGAGGAAAGACAGCAAAGGAAAGAGAAATTTGACTGAGTATTTTTTTTTTCCAGGTGTTGCATACGGCTCCGCCCAACAGCCGTCCGTCCTCCGCCCCCTGTCACCCCCGGGTCCGGACTGCATCCTGCAGGCAGCCGAGCAGGGGGGCAGGAGGGGGGCTGGGCTACAGACACGCCGATGCTCCTGGAGTTCAGGCAGCGAGGACACGCACAGCACAGAGAGGACAGCCAGGACACAGCTCAGCGCAGTCGGCTCCTTGTCTGCACACATTAGCCCGGACCAGTGTAGTTTCTTTTTGATAGGGAATACAAGTTACCCAGAGAGTTCCGTTTTATCTCATCTGGCTCGGAGCGGCATCACGGAGCCTTCTGCACTCAGTCAGGATGTCGGAACTTTCCGTGAATGACCACCTCGAAGGGATTTTATCAGATTTTGAAGGTATGTAGGTTGTAATAGCCTATTAAAATTACTTTACTGCTGCCTGTTTCGTTGGCATGTAAATGTGGAGTTGTAACTTGAGGCTGTTTCACCTTCTCTGTTCAAAGTGAAAACTCGTGTCTGTATGGGGGGGGGGCTACATACAGCAGCCTAAACGGTAACGTTACTAAACGTACTTTTTGTGAAGGCTGGTTTTCCTGAAAAATGACTGTGGGAGTCAGGTACGCAAATAGCCTGTACACTGAAATTTCCCAGACTTTTAAAATGCAAACAACCATCTGTAGCCTGCAATAAAAATCAGATTGTATTTAGTGTTCGTTAAAAGTAGAGCTGGGCACGATTAGTCCATCCACTTCCACACTGGTTGATCACAGGGAAAGAGGAGAAAAAAATCAAAATCAAGAGACTGTTCTTTACTTATCACAGGAAGGGGGTGGCTGGGTTGGGACTTGATTTTATTTATTTATTTATTTTCAATCTTGACCCTCCCTGAAGCTACAAATAGTTATTAGATTTTAAAACTTATCCTTTCATGTTTGAAAGTTTAAAGACAGAATTCTGGAGTTGAAGTCAGCGATTTTGAATAAAGTGATTTTGATAAAATATCACTGTCTTAGCCCTTTGAACCTGAGCTTCAAAAATATGGAAGAAGGCAATGAGCACCGAAAGAAGAAATTACTCAAAAAAATTGCAAGAAATTAATAAAAAATAGAAAAGTAAAACCAAAAAAATTGGTAAACAGTAAAGTTAAAAACCAACAAACAAGGAAATGACCTGAAAAAAGTGCTTAAATATTACATTCATTCTGCACATAATTTTAGATATTTAATAGTAATAATAATAATAACAATATAGTAATAATTAGTGTAGTTTTCCCTTTCTTTTTTCACAGTTAAAATTTGTTTTTCTAAATCTATTGTTTTTTTTTTTTTGCTATTTGTGGGACAGGTCTTATTAAGTTGCTTGCTGCCTTTTTACCCTTGTTTCTGGAAGGTGTCAAAGGGTTAAGCTCAGATTTAGTTCTGTTTTTTTCTGGGAAGCATTAGTTGAACATGATGCGCTCAAGCATGAAAAAAGAAAAAAGCGATCTGTGATGCTCATCCTCAGACTGCTAAACATGATGATCAAGGACCGTCGGATATTTGAAAATCCATTGATAATTATGTTTTTCAATTTCTGGCTATGATAAATGGTGTAATTTTGGCGATTTTAAAGAAAACATGCTTTTCAAAGTTGATTATTTTCACGTTTCATTAAATCACACCCTCAAAAGCATGTTTTTTATTAAAATAGGCAGTGAAATACATTCAAAATACAGCCATCTAAAGTTATGTCCCTATCCTAAGCCAGTGCTTTAAAAAATATTAATATTATTTTTGTCTTTTTCATAGCAAAAAATTGTTTGAGTCACTTCATAATGTTTGGTTTAGTGTGCCTTTGAATGAGACTTACAGTATAATTACTGCAGTCAGATGTAAAATGGCCTGGGCAGGTAAAAGAGCAGCACTAATAACATAGTGTAGGCAAAGCCTTGAGCCCCTTTGGTGTGTGTGTGTGTGTGTGTGTGTGTGTGTGTGTCTGTGAGAGAGAGAGAGAGAGAGAGAGAGCATCCCATAAGGAGACAATAGTATCTTTTAGAAGCAGTAAATTCAACTATGTGAATGAGCTGGCTGTTAGTCTCATTTCTGACTTAGTGCACACATTTGAAGTCTCTCTGCTTAACATCAGTTGAGGCATGGCTGGCACTGACGTTTTTTTTCTGTGATTTGTACATCCCTAGATTTTTTAAATTTTATTGTTTTCCAAAAAAGTCTGTATTCAACATTTCAGTAACACAAAAGTGAATACTTCTCTTAAAGGGAAAATGAAGAAATTAACTAGAAAGTAAACTCACAAAACCTATCCCACAAAAAAGTAAACATAAAAAAATATATCACTTTGTATAGATAGTGTGATATTAACGGCTGCATTACAGGAAAATTACGTCATTTTCTGAACTTACCGAACAGCTCTACTATTGTATTATTTGCCTTTGCCCATGTAATTATTATAACCACATTACTGAGGATTATTCATCAAAATCAAATTCTCATCTGCAGTGATGTCTCCATAAAAAAACAACCAATTTTTTTATGGCACTATCCATGCAGGGAAAGCAGTAATGTCTTGGTAAAAATGACCGATCTTTTGTGGCACTATCTCAGCAGGAAACACAGTGATGTCACAGTAAAAAACAACTGCTTGTCATGGCACTATCCCTGCAGGAAGCCATGGTCACTGCAGTGATGCCACGGTAAAAAAATAAATGCTTTTCATGGCATTATCTCAACAGGACACACAGTGATGTCACAATAAAAAAGAAATGCTTTTCATGGCATTATCTCAACAGGACACAAAGTGATGTCACAATAAAAAAGAAATGCTTTTCATGGCATTATCCTGGCAGGAAATGCAGTGATGTCACAGTAAAAAACTACTGATTTTTCGTGGCACTATCTTGGCAAGAAACACAATGATGTTGAAGTTCAAACCAACTGCTTTTCATGACACTATCCCAGCAGGAATTGTAGTGATGTCTCCATAAAAACAACCACTTTTTGTAGCACTATCCTGGCAGGAAATGTAGTGATATTGTGGTAAAAAACAACTGCTTTTCATGACACTATCCCAGCAGGAAACGCAGTGACATCATGGCAAAAACACAATGGGCTCTAGTTTCCCGGCACGGTGCAATATCAGGCACATTGACGATGCAATAAATACCCCAAAAAACACTATTCAATGCAACTATCTGCAATCAGCACATAAATGTATTTCTATATCGACTGTCCCGTCACATCTGATGTCAGATCAAAGGGGATTTGCACCGTTTGGCACGCGTTATGGAAACCCAACCTGATTTGAGTTCACATCCCTCTCAGCCAACCACAAACAGCCACAGCATCAGATAGGGAGTATATATTCAGCATCTGTCATCTTAGAAAAGTCAAAAGAAAAGAAACAGAGTGAGACTGAGAGAGAGAAAGAGAGAGCGCGCGCGTGCATGAGAGAATCGCAACATTGATTTACACTTATGGTGACTTCCTCCCAGGCTACCTTTGCATCATCAGCCAGTGGAGGTCTGCTCGCAGTTCCGTATATTAGGACACTGCAAGCTTGGACCTCCCAGACCAAAACATCAGTCTCCTCCTGGGAGAAGTTTGGCAGTCTGACGCTGCTGCTCTCTTCTGCCATGGCGAATTGAGTAAACTCTCATTACGCCTTCATGGGGCACATTTAAGGTTGGTGTGATGTGTGTAAAACCCACTCCACGCCTTCTCTCCTCCCTCTTTCCGACTTGCGCAGGTAGGAGGGACAGAGGTGGGAAAGAGGAGTAGCTGCGCCAGCGCGCACGGTGTGCCAAACTTGCAAAATCCACCTGGCCACACCCAGTTGGTGAAGCGCAGGTGCGCTGCGCCTCAGCCGCGCCTGGTCTGCGAAACTAGAGGCCAATGGCTTTTCATGGCACTATCACAGGTGGAAACACAGCATGGGTCATTAAAAAACACCCACATTTGGTAACCTAAAAGCCCCTGGATATGAAGCCATAACTTGCTAAAAAATAGATTTTGCTGTTTGTTGGAATGGTGATCTGCAGCTTGGCAGGTGTCGCACCTACATGCAGGTGCCATCCTCCATCACCTCCATCTCCCGATGACAAAGTCAGCCCGTACACTACATCACTTCAGAAATGTTGATATGATACTTGAAACATACAATTGTAACATATCCGTTAGGGTTGGGCGATGTCTACCCAACATATGACGATGTCCACAATGAAACATCCCAATGGATGATGACATTGTTGTCTGGGGGTGTCAGAATAGAAAAGACTTCTGTTCCAGAGGGTATGGACAAACAATGTATTTTGTTGTAAAATTTGGAGGACTTGTTGTTCTTTAATGCGCTAGAAATGGATATTCTTTTTTACCCGGTTTTAGTCATCTGCTTTCGAGTGATATTGTCCACTCTACGTCATTAACATATTTGTTGACGCAAAACCAGAAAAAACGTTCTTACAATATAATGTCTAAAGACAACAACAACAGGGGTTTCTGTGATATTACCGCCCAGACAGAGCTTTTTGAAAATGCTGTCTAAAGTGAATACTGTCAAAAGCTTGGTCTTATGTCATGGTGTGGACATGGAAAATACATGACATATGATCTGACTGTCATGTGATCAACCTTTCACAAGCAGCGAGTGTTCTTCCACTTGCCAGCAAGCTTTCTGTCGCCTCCAATTTTCTGTCATCACTTATTTGGAATTCAAATATAACCCTACACAGGATACAATTGCTTTGAGTGATGATAATGTAACAATTTGAGAATAAACAAAAGAGAAGAAAAATGAAGAACAGCTTCTTTAACTCCCGTATGAGCATCTTCAGAGTGAGGACAGTGAGGGAAGGAAAGAATGTCAGAATGAACAGACTTTGTTCTTCCTCAGGGTGATCCATCATGTCCTGGGACCCTGCAGGGACAATACAACAAAAGCTGCCCCATCTCATTTCGTTCTTACTTTCTTTCCACATTCCTCTGTTTAGACAGGTGTTGATCTGTGCCTCTAAACAAATTAGCGTAGCCTTTGGCCGAAGACCGCCACTGTAGCTGCTTTTGCACAACTGTTGGCTATTTGACACTTGAAACTGATGCCATAGAACAGTCATTACATTTTTAGACTTTAAAAATGAAAGCTAGCTAAAGAAATAAAAGTAAAGATTTGTACAAAGATTAATCATAATTATCCTTTTGTAAAACTGATATTTTTAAGCGGTACTGTGTTGACTACCTGAATATGGGGTCTCTGCTGTCATAGTTTGAACTTCATAATATACCACAAATTTTCAGTGGAGACAGGTCTGGACATCAGGCAGGTTAGTCTAGTCCCCGTACTATTTTACTATGAAGCCACACTGTTGTAACACGTACAAAAAGTGGCTAGGGCTGGGTACTGCTTGC